AGGAGCATGCGCGTAATACTTTGCTTTGATAACTTCTAGATTTTTGCAATAAGTATATGAGTTCTTTATGACTAATGTTGAGTCCATGGATTATACACACTTTTTCCCATCCTTCCACCTTTGCTAGCCTCTCTAATACCGCGCACTTTTCGCCGGTATCATACACCCACCATATACCTTCCTCAAAACAGCCACCATACCTACCTATCATGGCCTTTCCATAGCCATTCCGAGATATATTGCCATGCAACTTTCCACCGTTCCATTTATTATGACACGCTCCATCATTGTCATATTGCTAGCATGATCATGTAGTTGACATTGTATTTGTGGTAAAGCCACCGTTCATAATTCTTTCATACATGTCACTCATGATTCATTGCATATCCTCGTACACCGCCGGAGGCATTCATATAGAGTCATACCTTGTTCTAAGTATCGAGTTGTAATTGTTGAGTTGTAAGAAAAATAAAAGTGTGATGATCATCATTATTAGAGCATTGTCACAAGTGAGAAAAGGATGATGGAGACTATGATTCCCCCATAAGTCGGGATGAGACTCCGGACTTTAGAAAAAAAAAGAGGCCATAAAAAAGAGAAGATAAAGGCCCAAATAAAAAAATGAGAGAAAAAGAGAGAAGGGACAATGCTACTATCCTTTTACCACACTTGTGCTTCAAAGTAGCACCAAGATCTTCATGATAAAGAGTCTCTCATTTTGTCACTTTCATATACTAGTGGGAATTTTTCATTATAGAACTTGGCTTGTATATTCCAATGATGGGCTTCCTCAAAATGCCCTAGGTCTTCGTGAGCAAGCAAGTTGATGCACACCCACTTAGTTTCTTTTATAGAGCTTTCATATACTTATAGCTCTAGTGCATCCGTTGCATGGCAATCCCTACTCACTCACATTGATATCTATTGATGGGCATCTCCATAGCCCGTTGATACGCCTAGTTGATGTGAGACTATCTTCCCTCTTTTTGTCTTCTCCACAACCACCCTTCTATTCCACCTATAGTGCTATATCCATGGCTCACGCTCATGTACTGCGTGAAGATTGAAAAAGTTTTGAGAATGTCATAAGTATGAAACAATTGCTTGGCTTGTCATCGGGGTTGTGCATGATTTAAATACTTTGTGTGGGAAGATGGAGCACAGCCAGACTATATGAATTTGTAGGGATAACTTTCTTTTGCCATGTTATTTTGAGAAGACATGATTGCTTTGATTAGTATGCTTGAAGTATTATTATTTTTGTGTCAATATGAACTTTTGTCTTGAATCTTTCGGATCTGAATATTCATATCACAATTAAGAAGATTTACATTGAAATTATGCCAAAGTATCACTCTGCATCAAAAATTCTTTTTTATCATTTACCTACTCGAGGACAAGCAGGAATTAAGCTTGGGGATGCCTGATACGTCTCCAACGTATCTATAACTTTTGATTGCTCCATGCTACTTTATCTACTGTTTTGGACTATATTGGGCTTTATTTTCCACTTTTATATTACTTTTGGGACTAACCTATTAACCGGAGGCCCAACCCAGAATGCTGTTTTTTGCCTTTTTCAGTATTTCGAAGAAACAGAATATCAAACGGAGTCCAAACGGAATGAAACCTTCGGGATCGTGATTTTCCAACCTAACGTGATCCAAGATACTTGGACCCTACTCCAAGAAGTCTCCAAGGAGGTCACGAGGGTGGAGGGCGCGCCCCCTACCTCGTGGGCCCCTCAGAGCTCCACCGACGTACTCCTTCCTCCTATATATACCTACGTATCCCCGAACGATCAGAACAGGAGCCAAAAACCTAATTCCACCGCCGCAACCTTCTGTAAACACGAGATCCCATCTTGGGGCCTGTTCCGGAGCTCCGCTGGAGGGGGCATCCACCACGGAGGGCTTCTACATCATCACCATAGCCCCTCCGATGAAGTGTGAGTAGTTTACTTCAGACCTTCGGGTCCATAGCTAGTAGCTAGATGGCTTCTTCTCTCTTTTTGGATCTCAATACAATGTTCTCCCTCTCTCTCGTGGAGATCTATTCGATGTAATCTTCTTTTTTGCCGTGTGTTTGTTGAGACCGATGAATTGTGGGTTTATGATCCAGTATTATCTATGGAAAATATTTCATTCTTCTCTGAATTCTTTTATGTATGATTGAGTTACCTTTGCAAGTCTCTTTGAATTATCTTTTTGGTTTGGCCAACTAGATTGGTAGTTCTTGCAATGGGAGAAGTGCTTAGCTTTGGGTTCAATCTTGCGGTGTCCTTACTCAGTGACAGAAAGAGTTGCAAGGCACATATTGTATTGTTGCCATCGAGGATAACAAGATGGTTTTTTTATCATATTGCATGAATTTATCCCTCTACATCATGTCATCTTGCTTACGGCATTACTCTGTTTTTACTTAATACTCTAGATGCATGCCGGATAGCGGTCGATGAGTGGAGTAATAGTAGTAGATGCAGAATCGTTTCGATCTACTTGTTTTGGACGTGATGCCTATATACATGATCATTGCCTAGATATACTCATAACTATGCTCAATTCTGTCAATTGCTCAACAGTAATTTGTTCACCCACCGTAGAATACTTATGCTCTTGAGAGAAGCCACTAGTGAAACCTATGGCTCCCGGGTCTATTCTCATCATATCAATCTATATCACTTTATTTACTTGCTTTGTTTTTACTTTGCTTTTACTTTTCACTTTGCATCTATCTATTAAAAATACCAAAAAGATTATCTCTATCAGATCTCACTCTCGTAAGTGACCGTGAAGGGATTGACAACCCCTAAGCGTTGGTTGCGAGTTGCTATCGTTTTGTGTAGGTACGAGGGACTTGTGCATGGTCTCCTACTGGATTGATACCTTGGTTCTCAAAAACTGAGGGAAATACTTACGCTACTTTACTGCATCATCCTCTCCTCTTCGGGGAAATCCAACGCAGTGCTCAAGAGGTAGCACCGCGCGTTCCTAATCCACTACGATTTGGATATTTGATCCGAGGGGCCTCTGGCCTGATAGCACTAACCATCACGTGGGCATAGTATGGGCGTTCTGCGTCGTATGCATCAGCCGAAGCTTAATAAACGTTAGTGACTGAGCGGCGCGCGCCGGGTTGGACTGGTAAGCACCTGCCTTTCTAAGGAGGTAGCTAGGTCTGCTCACCGGCCACGTTCGCAACGTGCAGGAGTTCTCGGGGCGATGGCCCATGACCCCTGGGGGCATAGGTTTAGTCCGGCGTGCTGACCTCTCTATTAGGCCTAGGTCGGGTTGCGGCGTATTGTTTGGCCGAGGCCTGGCATGACCCAGGAAAGTGTGTCCAGCCGGAGTTAATCGAGCGTGGTGGGTAAGTTGGTGCACCCCTGCAAGGAAGAAAACATCTATCGATAGCCTGTCCTACGGTAACGGACACTTGGAGTTGTATCCCGATCGATACAACTAGAACTGGATACTTGAGATGAGAAATGGATAGTTTGGCTCTAGGATTGCTTTCTCGTTGAGAGTCGAGAAAGGATCTCTGGCCGAGGTTGATAACACTACTACTACTTTACCTTACGCTACTCTTATCTCTTTTGATGCTGCAAGATGCTTGGAGCTGCTTGAAGATGCTAGTCTTTGATAGGCTAGGCTTTCCCCTTCTCTTCTGGCATTCTGCAGTTCAGTCCACAGATACAACCCATTTCATTGATACTGATGCATAAGTAGTGTAGATCCTTACTTGCGAGTACTTTGGATGAGTACTCACGGTTGCTTTGCTACCCCTTTCCCCCTTCTTTCTTTTTTCTGGTTGTTGCAACCAGATGGTGGAGTCCAGGAGCCAGATGCCACCTTTGACGACTGCTACTACCCCGAGGGTGTCTACTACCACGTGACGGACGCCGATGATCAGGAGTAGTTAGGAGTCTCCCAGGCAGGAGGCCTTGCCTTTTCGATTGATGTTGCTTTGGTGCTAGCCTTCTTAAGGCAAACTTGTTTAAATCATGTATGTACTCAGATATTGTTGCTTCCGCTGACTCGTTTGTATTCGAGCTTATGTATTTTTTTTATTTGTGTCTAGAGTTGTGTTGTGATATCTTTCCGTGAGTCCCTGATCTTGATCGTACACATTTGCGTGTATGATTAGTGTACGATTGAATCGGAGGCGTCACACCAAGGCCCGGCGCAACACCATCCATGGAGTTGTATTCTTCTAACAAAGATGACTTCCAAGACAAAGTTGTTTCTTATGTAGGTATCTTTGATCTGTGCCTCGTTCTTCAATGGTGCTAGAATTCTGTGATCCGTGCCTCCTTCGCCGTCCAAGTCTAGCACCATCATAGAATCACTAAACGCTCTTATATTTCATTACGGAGGAAGTACTATATATGCTTCTATCAATATTTGAATTAGTGCTACACTAAACCTACACTGGGATGTGGTCCTGAATTTCGGTTTTAGAATTATTTCCCCACTAAGCCAAAGGCGGATGAGGATGGTCATCTTATGAAGGGGATCGGGGTGGCCTCATTGTTGGATATACCCTGTCGCTGCGCTGTTTCCGAAAATCGACCAAACAAGCAAGGTGACCAAGCTGCAAAATCTTTTTTTTTTCAGCTGCAGTTTCCGAGACACCGCCATACCATTGTTGAAAGCAGTGTTTCAACCAATGAAATCCATCCCATTTATGGCACCTAGAAGGTCTACGGTGTGCCCAAGCAAATGACAAAAGTGTCAAGTGATAAATTGCATACAGCTTCTTGGCAATTCAAACACAACAAAGTAGTTGTACAGTCATGTCACATTTTATACATCTTCTGCTCAACGTAAGCGGCGGCGATACGATGGAGCATTCAGCTCTTGCAGCGATAGAGTTTGGCAATGCAAAATACAAAGATTGCAAGTGGATATGATGCAAATAATGCATCCACCTGGACATAGCCCACATAGTTTTCACAGCCACTGAAAATACTGAAGACACAATGTACACGATGCGGTCGATCTTCACTTGTCGGATTCTTTCTTCGGATGGATGGCCTCAACGATAGCTTCGATCTCTTCCTTGGCACGTTCAAACACGCCCGGGCCTTTGACTTTGCTGACCGGCGTGTCCTCACTTATATCATTGCTTGTACCATGAGTTTCGTTCTCGTGGGTCTTCTTATGCATGTCTGCCTTGCTGTGTTCCTTGGAATCCTTGTGCAATTCTGCAGGTAAATTAGAACGGTGCATAATAATCAAGACAGGGTACTAAACAGAGCACTGCCAAAAGAACCTCATCTACCATGTATGAGGAAAGTAACACAAAGAATCAGGAATGAAGGAATTGAATACTAGGTTCCAAAGGAGGTACTGTTATCCTTTACTCCTTCTTGTATATCCTTATTACTCTATTCTTCAATCAAAATGGTTGCTTCTAGAGAAGCTATATTTCAGAAACATCTTTTATACTGATGATTTTTGGTCACAAAGTTTTATTGTTTCAAAGTTTGGGTAATATTAGGTTACAAACCATAATATTGTATGCTCAAGAAGTTCCCATTATAACTTGACAAAGCTGGACATCCAAATCTTGGTCTCAGAAATCTCCGGTACACAAAACACTACTCCTCAACAAGGTGAAATGAATTTCCAAACTTGATTTCAGGAGGTACTATTATCCTTTGCCCTTCTTGTATATACTTTATATTTCTTTTTTCTTCTATTAACATGGAAGGCCTGCTTTGTATATAGCTTTTAGAGAAGTGATATCTCAGAAACATTTTTCATGCTTGAATTTTTGTCCACAAAATTATATTGTTTCAAAGTCTTGGTGATGTTAAGTTATAAACCTCAAATACATACACCCAAACTACCTCCATAACACCTTGGACAAAACGGAAAATTCAAGTGTTTCCAGTCTCTCAGAAAACAGAACTCCGTTACACAGAACACTACTCTTCTCAACAAGGTGAAGTGAAAATACCACAGAAACCTACAACAGCTTAATAGTTCATCACTGCAAACAAATTAACTGAATATGCAGAAATGAAACAGCAAACAGAAATTTCCTGTGAGCCCATGTCTTAGCATTCAACACAAAGCACTGTTTCCAGTCAAACCCTGTCAGCTCTCAAGAATTGAAAAGCTGAAACTTGCGGATATGATTGCTTCTATTGCAAAATGGCAAGTCCTAAGGTTGTAACTTAGGTAGACTCGGTTCAGAAAAGAACAATTTGAGTGGTATAAACACTCTCAATTGGACAAGCCCCATAGGCAAAGGAGCACAAAGATGTGAATTTTCACTCTATTGGACCATTGTTGTTCCTCTCTTATCCTACCCATCTTTCTTCCCATCTAATTTCTACTGTGAGCATAATTCAAGGTATGTAATTGGAGCAATACTTGTCAGAGTTAAATTAGGCAAAATGACTTCAACTTAAGTAAATTACCACCCTCCTTCCCGCGGGGACTGGAATGGTGCTCCATCTTATCGTGAACAGCCGCCACAAGAGCCTCGATCTCTTCCTTGGTCCGTTCAAACAGATTGGGGCCCCTGACCTTCTCCACAGGCGTGTTCTCGCTTATGTCGTCGCTTGTTCCGTGCGTCTCCTTTTTGTGGATGCTGCCTTTGTTCATTATACGCACCACCACTCTGTTGAAATATGCAACAGCTTTCAGTGTCAGTAGTAGTGCACAAGAAACTGAAATGAAACAAGAGATTTGCACTCGACCAAAAATGCCTTCATACAATGAATTGGAACAGCAACACGTGGTGCCAAGCTTGCTTTGCAGGAAGGCATAAGGGTTAACTAAAAAAAGCACCAAGTACCCCGAGATCAAGAGGTTAAGCATCTAAAGTGCTTCGGTAACAAACAGGAAATTTCTAATAAACTGGTCGCCTACAACTTCAGAAAATCTGCACAAATCGACATGGTTAGCTTGCTGCGATCCCAGCTAACCGCGGCGAACCTTTTGGCACTCCACTAGAGACGGCAAGAAATGTTAATCATTCATCGGCTGATCCCATGGACGAGCGATCTAGCCTATCCCGGGATCGGGCAAACACAGACAGCACGTGAAGTACGAGGATGGCAAGAAAGTTTTTGAAACAGAGCGGGAGAGGGAGACAGAGAGAGAGAGAGATAGGTTCGTGCCTGTGGGGGTCTGTCGTCTCCGGCGAGCCGGCGCGGCGAATTCGATCTCCTGCGTGCTCCGGCCTCCGGGAGCACGAGAGATTCGGACTCTGGCAATTGGGAGAGGAGACGATAGGACAGGAAGAGAAGTGGGAGAAGAAAGAGACGGAATTATTCCTCGGCCCAGGCTGAAAGCCCATGTAAAGCCCACTTATGGTATGTTGACCCACATGTCAGTGAACAGGGCTCACTGGACTATTGACCCACATGTCAGTGACAGGGCCGTCGGAAGAGGCGCGGGGCTTTCTTGACCGTCAGGCAGGGAACATTGGGCCCACTTGCCAGTGTCGCTCCCCTCCCGCAACGCGGTCAGACAGGCGACAAGTGGCCAGCGTCCGCGGAGACCCCGTCGATACCGACTCGCCGGCCGCCGCCGCAAGGCAGACAGACGCATCCGCGCTTTCCCGATGTCTGGGGCCACCGCCGCGGGCGCGATCGCCGCTCTCCTGCGTGCCCACCGCTTGCCCATGCTGCATTCGCCGTTCGCGTGCTCGCTCGCCGCCGCGCGCTCTCTGGGCGCGCATCTCCCTCCCCGCGCCCCGGCGGCCGCCGCGCCGCTCTCCTCCCGCCTCTCCCTCGCGCGCCTCCGCTCCGGCGCTTCCTGTACGTATACAATCGTAATTGCATAGTTTACTGGTTGCGCCTCGGCTGTTCGACGTAATGCCTGTACCCGTGGTGATCCTTCCAGCGCGCTTCTTCTCCTCCTCCTCCTGCGCCCCTGGCAGCGCTGTCTCTTCCTCGGCGGCGGAGCACGAGGAGCCGCCGAAGTCGGAGCTCATCTTCCTCGGCACGGGCACCAGCGAGGGCGTCCCGCGCGTCAGCTGCCTCACCGACCCCTCCAAGACTTGCCCCGTATGACCCTCCACCTACATCTCGTTATCAACCGCCGGTTGACTCGCTTTGTTCTGCTTTCTCACAGTGCTCGCTGCTCGGTGTGATGTTGGCTGTTTGTTTGTTATGTCCTGTTCGCAGGTTTGCACCAAGGCAGCAGAGCCAGGGAACCGGAACCGGAGGCGCAACACCTCCATTCTCCTGCGCCATGTCACGCCGTCTCGCACCTCTAACATTCTCATCGACGCTGGCAAGTATGCGCTACTTCTTGCACTGCCAGTTGCTTCTCCTCTCGTTCTTGACGCTAGAGCTATGGGTAGGAATAGTAGAAAACACCCAGAGTGTATCACTGTTTTGAAGCAGAGAACCTGAAATTTCTTCCATTCATAGTAGCTGATATAGAAGCTGTTTTTGTAAATAATGCGCATCTACAAAGTAAAAAAATGGTAATAGTTATCACACCCTGATGCTTTGTTCTTCTGTCAGGTTTTTCTACCATTCTGCGCTCCAGTGGTTCCCTGCTTTTGGGTACTGAACTGTTCACATCCTCTATTAGTATTTGCTTTAAAGAAACGCAAGTGTTGTTAACGTTTTGTACTGATCTTCAGGTTGAGGGAGATTGATGCTGTCATTATTACTCATTCTCATGCTGATGCAATTGGAGGTCTGAGTGGTTCCAACCTTCTCAACTCCTATGCACCTTATAATTGAATGCTTATACGATTTTTAAAAGTCCCGTCTAGTGTAAATGCTTTCCGCAACACAATTTTGTTTCTATTAATCAAGATGAGAAACCCATCGTACTTGTGGCTTTTCCCTTTCCAAAAAGATAACAGCATGAATGGTGCAGGTCTTGATTGTCTTCGTGATTGGACGAACAATGTCCAGCCCTCCATCCCAATTTATGTGGCACCGCGTGATTATGAGGTTTGAAAATCTTGTACTTAGTTATGTTTTATGTTATTTTTTCTAGTATTACAGCCTCAGAAAATTTTATGGAATATACATGAAAATCCATTATGCCATTCTATTAAAAAATTATGGCCTTCCCACTTTTAGTTTTATATATCTTTACAGCTGGCTCAGTTTTCTTTCCTTTCCTCCTTTGCTGGTTTGTATCAGGTGATGAAGATGACACACCACTATTTGGTCGACACAAGTACGGTTATACCTGGTGCTGCAGTTTCAACATTGCAATTCAACATTATGAAAGAGGAACCATTTACTGTTCAGGATCTTGAGGTTGGTAATCTGAAACAACAACTTCAAAGCAAGGAGTGTACTTATACTTCTAAGCTGTTTGCTTACAAATTACAATTGATATTCTCCTTTTAGACTCAGTGAGATGTAGTAAGGAAATAGTCCATGTAGTCAGGTATACAAATGTGTATTTAATTCCTTTATTTTGGTCAAATATAATGGGATGGGATCACTTAATTGATTGATAGTGTTGTTAGTAACAGCCAATAGGGCAAATTTACCAGCGCAATTCAGACAAGCCTTCCAGTAAGTTTGAGTAAATCTGTTTTCATTGATGGCTCGAGGTAATATGGAGAACTTTTGGGTAGAAACATAATATGGAGAACTTACCAACCTGTGGCTGTGGAGCTAAGTAAACCTGTCATGGGCTCAATTTTTATGTATCCTGCTCAAATGCAAAATTACTTATTCAATATGTCCGTATGTGTTGAGTATACTTGGGATTCATGACAGAGTCTCCTGTTCAATTTATTTTGCTAAAGATGTAATGTCTACATTTCAGGTAATTCCTTTGCCTGTATGGCACGGTCAGGGTTACCGTTCCCTTGGTTTCCGTTTTGGTGACATATGCTACATAAGGTAGATTGAGTTCACTGGAAGGTCTGTTTATTGTAAGACTTGTGTTGTTGGTAGGCATCTTATCTGAATTGCTCTGATGTTTGCAGTGATGTCAGTGATATACCTGACGAAACCTATAAACTTCTGGAAGACTGTCAACTTCTTATATTGGTATTCCTTTTTTTTTCTTTTCTTGCATTTCTGATTGTTAAACCATGAAATTGTTTCATTGGACTGTTGTATGCTGCTAACTTTGTTTTCTTGCGTATCTCTGATTTTTGAATCATGAAATAGTTAGATTCATCTGAAAGATGTACATTTCTTATGCTGCTAACTTTTGTATTGACCTACTTGTGCATCTCTCTTGAGTATTCACTGTTGACTATGAATTGGATTGATCTTGGTTTTATGTAACTTACTACAGGATGCTCTTAGACCTGATCGTTCTTCTTCAACACACTTTGGATTACCTAGGGTAAGTTCTAACACATTAGTTCTACCTTCTTACTATTTCACTGTATCCAGTTATGATATATTCTTCAACTATACAGGCCCTCGAGGAAGTCAGGAAAATCAAACCAAAAAGAACACTGTTTACCGGTATGGCCTGACTAACCAATCATTTTGTTGCTTCTTTTTATACTTCCTCCGTTCCTAAATATAAGTCTTTTTAGAGATTCTAATATATACATCCGTATGTAGTTCATATTGGAATCTCTAAAAAGACTTATATTTAGGAACGGAGGAAGTACAAATTTATAGTTAACTTTTTTTCCTTACAAAATAGCTCAGGAGTTGTATTGAGATTAGGGCATGGGATCTGTTGTTTTATTCCAACTCCTTTGTTTGGTATCTAATGGGAATTATGTGTGGGAAATTGACAGAGAAGTTTATTCTGTTATTTGTATAGTGGGAATTGGTGCAAGATTAGACAAGAGACAATGACATAAGTCATGATGAAGGGGTTAAGATGTCATCACTAAAACAATTTCCTCCCAATTCCCACCCCTTCCCTTGTTAATAAAACGGTGGGGGTTGGACTCTCAACTGTCATGTTTAATCCCTCATCAATTCCCATGCCCCCTAACCATACAATGTATTTAAAGTCTCATACCCCTTCAATCCTCACCCCCTAGCTCTAATCACACCCAACCAAACATGATGTCAGTGTCAGCTCTTAAGTGCATTTTGGAGTTTCTCTGGATCCACAAAACATAACACACTCTTAAACAGACTGCAGAGTTTGCAACAGAAAAGTTTAACATGATTTTAGTTTACAGTTGAGAAATGTTACCTATCTGTTGTTTAATATCTAGAAAAGTAACAAGGAGATGATTTCACCTCTCAAATACTTGTCCAAGAAAGTAATAAATTACGCCTGAACACATTAAATCTCAATATTTATGTCGAACACAGTTCATAATTATTGATTCCAGGAATGGAGTCTTGGAAACTTTGTCGCAATCTTTTCTTCTTGACATGGAACTATGGGAAGCTTATAGCCTTATTTGATCAAATGGCATGTTTTGCCTCATCTTCCATTATTTTGATTATATTGCTATTGTTTTAAACTGGACTGAATGGTATCTTCAGGGATGATGCATTTAATGGACCATGAGAAAGTGAACGATGATCTTGCCAGGCTGATGGAAACAGAGGGGCTTGACGTCCAGCTTAGCTATGATGGTCTCAGTATACCTGTAAGGCTCTAGAACTATTGGACACACGTGCTACGTTATCTCTTAGGCACTGTTGAATGATGGTTACAGATTTTCTGTAGTTCCATTTCAGTAAAAATGATCACAACATGTAATCCGTTGAATTCCTTGCATCAAGCTTTCCC